TTTTTTTTTTTTTTTTTTTTTTTTTTTTTTTTTTTTTTTTTTTTTTTGCTATATAAGAATATTTAACTGCCTCCTCCCCGGCTACTGTTGTCAACGAGCTTTCCTTTCATTGTCAAACCTTCTTGCCTACAGGCTCGTATACACCCCCATCTACGGCTCTTTATCTTCCCTCCCTCCCCCGTATTTGAAAATAAGCTCTAGAGGCACCCACCCCCCAATTCCACCGGCATTCTAGAAGCCATCTCTCATCCCTTGAAGCCTTCCTCCTGCCTACTGGTCCTTTCACCCGATAGGGTCCCACGGACACGCTTGTTCAGTCACTTCCATTGTTTACTGGGTAGGTAATATTTCGTTGTTCGTGCTTGTTTCAATATCCGCGAACTAGTAACAGAGGACACTCATACTTCATCCTGTCGTGATGCAGCATACACCTTGACATTCCTGCGCAAATCGGCCCGACCAGCCCGTCAAAGGAGAAAGAAGTACTATATACATCCAAGCATTCTATAGCACTTCTAGATCCTATAATTAGCCACCCTGCCCAACTACCCAACCAGCTGGCCTGAGTGGTGCAGATTGCGCACGAACAACTTCCTGATCGTCGTGCACTAGTCCGGTGATCTCATTCTTGTCGCATTGCCACTCTTCCTTGCGCTGCCCCCCGTGACACTTGTTCTTTTGACGCCCAGAGCTTCTGTATAACTCCCTAGTATGTCCAGCGGTGAGCTATGGTCCACTTTAGTCACCGCAATCGATCCCGGTAGTACCAAAGCCATGCCCATCATCCTTCAATCGACCATCGATCTTCTGGAGACAGAACTAGCCAAGGCTAGAGCGGCGCTCCATGAGATCCAGCCTACGGCATCCTCTTTATTTACGAAGCGAGATGAGCTCGCTTTGGGTGCCGTGGCAGCATATCGTCAAAATCTTATCGACCGTGCGCCGGACTTTTTCTATGGCGCGAGTCGGTTGACCCCCAAGGAGTTGGGACTTGTCCCGGCTGTCCGCGAAGTACAGGCGGACGATGATGACGATGATCATGTAAAGACCGCGTCCAAGCAACACCTTCAGCCTGTCCAGCCGATTGCGCCCAAGCGCGCTTCTCTGGCCGATGTCTTATCTAACAGTCTAATCCTCGACCATATGGCCCCATATCTGTCAACCTCCTCATTGTTGGCTCTAGCATCCACTTCCCGCCAGGTTCGCTCATCGATAGTGGACACTCCCTACATTTTCCGCCACCTTGATCTGACCCAATGCCGTGGTGCAAAACCAGCCAGCACACCTACGACAGACTCGGCGGAGCAAGTATGGAGTGATGAGCAAGGGGAAGACTCCTTAGTCGAGGATGAAGTTCATTCTGCGCCTCTGAGGGGCATCTTTGCTAGTCTCCAAAGGCAGTCGATCCTGCAGGACGTGCGCACATTGGTTCTGGATGGACTGTCCGTTCCAGCGGATTTGCTTGCGGAAATTATCCTCACAGATCGCTTCAACGTCAATATTCTATCCATCAGGGAGTGCCGCCATCTCAATGAGCGGAAACTGATGCAGGTGCTGACCCATGCGGTACGGCCTTCCCGCCCAAAGGGCACACCCCGCGTTAAAGGCATCTATCACTTTACTCCTCTCCAACAGTCTCGTGCGGTGATCCGCAGCAGATACCGCGACTGGTGGAGCTCGAGATGTGGCAGCCAATCGTCTATTACTCCGGGCCCGGAAAACGGGTCAGCAACTGGTGAAGTTGCTGAAAGTGCTGCACAACAACAGGATGCATGGTATCGCTCGTCCGGGCAGCTCTTCAAGCGGAGCATTGAGGATGGCTGGGCAGAGACAATCAAGCAGTGCGAAGGTATCATTGCATTTGACGCTGTTTTATGCCGTGGTCCTCGTCACGACGTTGATCTTTCCACTCCCATGCCGGAAGGCCAGGGCGTATCTCAGCCAGAGGGCCGGCCGCCGCTTGCGCCAAAACTGGCAACTGTCGCACTAGGGCCCCGAGGATGCGATGGCTGCCACACATCACCCGAAGGCCCGACCTTCTGGGGCCAGTCCCCGGATGAAAACCTTCCCCTGCTCACGCCGCCACCGCTCCACTCTTCGTCTGTAGCCAAGGCAAAAAGGCCGGTGTTGATTCCGGACGAGCAGCCCAGTCTAATCGCTCGCTGCACAGATTGCTTGACAGATCGGTGGTGCCATCGTTGCAATAAATGGTTCTGTGAGGATTGCCTGCCTCATCCTGAGCGTGTACGGAACAATCTTTCGCCGCACCAGACAGCGTTCAGAAACCCGCAGAGCAATCTGGGTAGTACTGAAGAGTCCGAAGATCAGAGGGTTCGTATCTGAAAGGCGCCGTATGATGTAGAAAAGTTGTCTGACCAAATTGAACAGCAATTCAGCCGCGGTGTAAGCAAAGATTGCTGGGAGTGCGGTCCAACGGTAAGTCAATTAGACTACAGTTATGTTTGCCGCTGTTCTAACAGCTTGTGCAGTGTGTCCAGTGCAAGACGGAATGCCAGCGAACTTGCCAAAGCTGCCGTGGTGAATATTGTGTTGAGCACAATGAGGGATGTTCGTCGACGATGGTATGCTCCTTGAGTCACCCAAAACCCTTTTGCGACTCACATTGACCTTGTTGGCATTCTCACAGTGCGATTGGTGCAATGCCAGTACCCGGCATCGGGTGAGAGAACTGTACTGACATCCTGTGCGAGTAAAGGCTCCCATGAGCTAGTTTGGGGAAGACACGCAATTCTGAGATCCTTCAAACCTCTCTCAGCCTGGTCTCATCTTGCTATATTGAGGTTCTTTTCTTTCGTTAGGGTTCACAATCTCGTCTCTTTCGTTTTTCTTTTTCTTTTTTGGGTAGTACTATATTAGCCGGCGTGCTTTTCTCGCCACTCAGAATACCACTGCAGCGCGTATGATTTAGCCATACTTTGAGTGTATCTACCTTGAAAGGGTTGTAGGCCCTAGGAAGCAAGAGGAGGTAAAATTATGATCGTTGACTGCCAAAAAGTAGCAGTCAGACGGAGTAGTAGTATAGGGAAAGTGGACAGTAAACAGACTGATGACAAATCGGCGCTTGGAGTTCCAGAAGGCACGCGGTGTTTCGCAACCTGAGATGAGCCGCAATGGCTGATGTATGCATGCATTCTTTCCATCATTCATCGCCTCCCCCCGCCCACCATCATTCTTAATCTCGATTCTTGACCCATGATGGTCTCCGCTACTGCCCTCGTCTCCACTCTCCCCTCCACACTCTCCTTTCCTTTGCTTCCTCACATACCTCTTTCCCTCCCGCTTCGGAGATCATGACGGGGAACCAAGGTTCCTTGCGCTGGTCGTCGCAATTGACTGTTGCTCCAGCCCAGCAAAATCCCAAGCTTTCCGGCGATAAGATCATACTGCCGCCATCCGCGCTCGAGCAGCTTCTCGCGGCTGCCCCGCTTCAAGAGGTAACTTCGTCAGGTCCAGCACGCCCATACACCAGCACTTTCGATCCCTTTAATCCGCACACCTTCGCCGCCGAGTCCCAGGCGCGCGAACGGGCGGTGGATCGCCAGCAGCAATTGCCCCATCCGCTTACGTTCCGCATCGTGAACCCTCAGAACGAGCGGGTGGTATATGCTGGCGTTCGTGAGTTTTCTGCGCCAGAGAACGAGATTGGTCTCAGCACCTTTTTGCGCGGGGCTCTTGGCATCGATGCCACTCGACGACCGTCACCACACGAAGATGATGGTACGGATGGTGAAGTGACGAACGATGCGCCAGCCGCCCCGACCACGGTCACGGTCCATGCACAGCAGTTACCAAAAGGTACTTATGTCCGTCTGCGCCCTCTAGAAGCTGGATACGACCCGGGGAATTGGAAGGCTTTGCTTGAACAACAGCTGCGGGACAATTACACCACATTAACCTCTGGAGAGGTCCTCACTGTTGCAGGGGGGCGCGATCAGTCATTTCAGTTCTTGGTTGACAAAGT